AGTAGTTTATTATCAATATTAAAAGAAAATTGGAGCTGAAATGATTTAAGTAATGCCACAAACACTCAAATACACTTTCATGAGGAGTCTATGGGAAACATGAGGAGAGTCGCACAATGGAGGTCGTGGGGATATCAGTTTTAAAAGGTTGCTTGATCAAAACTTCCGTTCTGTTGGACTGTTGGTTCCATAATTTCTTTTGTTTTTTCCCCTTTAAACTAATATAAATAATAAACCAATAGTCAGAAATGAATGAAATTATGATTTTTCAAAATTTGAAAATTAATGTCTTCACAATGTCCATTTTTTTTTACTACATCTATTTTACCTTTGGACTCCTCATACATGAAAATATACTCACGTACCAACACATACACACTGGCAGAGGTACATACAGGCACGCAAACACAGACACACATCAACGCACCCACACACGCACACTCACACGCACACACACATACACACACACACACACACACACACTCACACACACACACAATCAATGGTTTGACTTACAAAAAGTGACGTCAGGAGATACCGCCCTGTTTACTCCGTAATTCTCTCCACTCCCATCAAACTGTGGGTACATGTTGACTGACAGGCTGTGAGTTCCTGCCCCCAGCTCTGAGGCCTGGATTGTGAACGTGCACGAAGGTCCAGAAACACTCCCAGTTGTATCTGTGCCATAACTGGGGGGCACGGACGTCTGGACACGGGATCCCTAGAGCAGAAAGTAATACAACGCTGGTCAGAAACATCTTTTAAAAACCTAGGTGTGTCTTGAACTAGGTGCCCCTGAAACAGACGACAGATAGTAATTGAGAATGGATCAATAGCATGGTGCATACCAGTTCTCTGACTGCCTTTTGTGGTTTCAGTAACTGCATTTGTTTGTGGTGTATATTTTCACACTACCGGGGCACTGCTGAGTTAGTAAAAGAATTATTTCAGTTAGCTCATGCTGTCTTTGAGAAGACAATAAAGTTCGTTGTTGGGCCGCTGAGGCCAACTTCAGTCTGTGTGAAACGGAAGTGGGGCAAGGTTTTTCTGGACATAGTTTTTGGAAATACATGTCTATCGTTTACGGCATATACAGGACACATACAATGCTAGTATGGGAAAAAATGTCCCTTTAAGATTATATTATATACATGTATTGCTACATGCGCACGATTGTGGTATAGAGCCAGAGCTCAGTTATGGTATTGTCAGCTAGTATTGTTAGAATTCCGTAACCTATTGTCTTGCGTTTTCCTCCTATCTTGTCTCACGTACCTGATCAAGGTATTAAAAAACGTGAGAGAAGCGTTCCCAAACATGTCTCTCTGTCCTGACCCCACATGGCCTACGTGAATAATATGATAACCAAATACCCAGAATGTGTTTGTTTGTCTGTCTGTCCTGTATTTCACTCCACCCCCCACCCTTCTCTCTCTCTCTCTCTCTCTCTCTCTCTCTCTCTCTCTCTCTCTCTCTCTCTCTCTCTCTCTCTCCCTCTCCCTCTCTCTCTTTCTCTGTTTCCCTCTCTCTCTGTCTCTCTCTCTCTCACTCTCCCCCCCCTCTCTCTCTCTCTCTCTCTCTCTCTCTCTCTCTCTCGCCCCCCCTCTCTCTCTCTCTCTTTTCATCTCTCTTATAGGTATATTTAACGCGACTTCCACAAAATACAATGTTCTAGTATAGTTGTATTTTTGTTTAGACGAACGCAGAGTGTCTCTGTCCTTAAACAGAATTCCTTTTAACTTGGAGTTATACGTGTTCTCCTACAGTTATGGGTTCTCCCGCTTCTTACACAGAATTTAGTAGGTTCCAGATCAAAACAAAGTCAATCTGAACAAAGTAGCAAAGTTCCACACACTTACACCATCAGTCTGTCTGTACAGCACACATCGGGGGTCTTGAGGAAAGATGTCACTGGACACACACGTCACAGACACTGTGTTGTCGTTGTTTGTAATCTCTGGGCTTCTGCACGTGAGGTCTGTCGGTTTTGCTATTGGACAAAAGAAATATAGCTTCTATTAACAAAATAACCTTTTACAGCATAGTGATAAGAAGACTAATTAAAGAATCGCATGCAGCTAAAACAACCTTTGTCACTCTCCCGTAATGATAGGAGCTCACCCAGACATTATCCTCAGAGACTACGTTGACAGTTAGGTGTTCAAAAATCTTCTTCAGAAAAATAATCTAGATCTATATTTGAGAGGCAAAGGTCTGAACAGGAATCCAGTGCACATTATGGACCCAACTGGAAGACGGACACTACGTACGCTATTGCTTTACTTTCACACATTCACCAAGAAGAGATGGAGAAAACGAAAGGTTTTGTAAATGCCTCGTAGAAGACAGGCCGTAAATGTCTAGTTCGGAACTCCCTTCTTAAAGTAAATAGAAGTCGTATTTCCACATGACGTCATAGCTACCGCCATAATGGCCCCCACAGAGAGTGAAGGCCCCGATGTGCGTGGTTGTTCATGTCAGTTCCTAAACGAGAAATAGGATTTTGAAATAAAGGGGTAAAAAATTCGTGGCGTAACGTAATATCAAATATTTCCTCAACCATCAAGTATAGACTCTCCAGCTTTTGTACAACGTCTTGTATCAATTTGTCTTAATAGACAATATGTTTATAAACAACTGTCAGCTGTATTCTACAAAATTCCTTAATAAATGCAAATTAAAAATCAAAGTGGGTGCTTTCTACAGATTTTTAAAGATTTACAAATGGGGCAATATCGCTTTTAAGAGCAAGTCGGTCCAATTTTTTAAAAACTAATATCCTCATTTTGATTATTGAACGAATGTTTTGAAAAACTTTGGTGCAAAAAAATGTTGGCGATAAAACCGATTTTTTGTAACAAGTTTTGCCACTTTAAAAAAGTGTCACGAGTGAGCTGTGATTTTACTAGGCTCACGTATATCTACATAACACACACAAACACACACATAGACACACACACACATACACACACACATATACACACTCACACACACAAACAAACACATACAAACACACACACACACACATATATATATATATATATATATATATATATATATATATATATATATGTATATATATATATATATGTATGTATGTATAAGTATGTATTATGTGTCACGATACATTGGAATCAGGCGCTCATCAATTTTTTGGCATATAGAGTTTTTGTTATCACCTTTAAGGGTATTCATTTGTCTTGCATTTGATGGAAAATTACTCATCTGTCTTTAAGAGAGGTCGATATATTTCAGATTAAAGGAGGTGGGGATCACCTGTTTTTAGAGGTAAAAGTAGAGCAAAACGGCCACTAACATTTGGTGACTACCAAAGCTTGAAAGTCCTTGAAAATTGTAAATTTACATTGTTTGTGCCTTTAATCAACGTTTTTCATTAAAGGCCACACATCCAATTGTTTTTCAATGAACAAGCAAGGTGTGGAGCCAAAAACCCCTCAACAAAATTTCGATAAAACTTACAAACCCATAGGAAAAATGCCGATATCTTCGATTTAATTATTTTGACGACCCCCTTTTTTGCCCCCCCCCCCCCCCCCACACACACATGCGCATGATTACATTCATAATAATATGGACAAACACATACATACATACACACACGCACACACGCGCTCACACAAACGAACACACACGCACACACATACACACATACACACACACACACACAAACACACACACACACACACACACACACACACAAACATACATCACACAATACTCACAATAGGTAACAAGGGTCCAACTGGCTATCACAGAAAACTGTGAGCAAGACAGAGACAAAAACCTTCTGTCAGCGTTCCATGTGAGTGTAGCCTGTGTCTGGTCTGTCGTCACGGTGAACAAGGAGGAAAACCCCGAGGACACAGTACAGTTGTAAGGTACTTGATTTGTCACACACGTTGCCACTGCTCTTTTTACTGCCGCCAGCTGCACTTCCCACGTCAAGGAAGCGCCCCCTGCACCAGTGTTGTACGCACATGTACGAGAGATGCTCGTCCCCTCCTCTGTAGGGCCCAAACCCTGACCTGATGATGTAAACAAATACCGGACATGTATATTGTATGCTTGTGAGCAACGTATAGTGGTCAAATAATAAGAGAAGATAGGAAACGTTTTACTAATCCACACATATAGTCGTAGTGTGAACACGTTCACAATTTCATACACATTCAAGGAATAGCATGCCATATCAAAGTCTTGTCATAAGTAAAAATAATAATATTACACGTCTTATCCGAAAGCCTGGGGACTGTAATATGGGATAAGATAGGGTGGTATGTGCTTTTTCTGGTAAATACTGCAGCCTGCTGGGGTTTTTGAATCATGGAAAGCCGGGTCTTCATGTACGATAGAATTTACATTAAAATAGTGCATTCCTCATGTCTTTACATTTTTATTTGTACGTTTTCTTTGAGCTCTCGAACTCCTCAGAGACTACAATGTTCCTGTTTAGAAAGTTTTATTCTGAAAAGGAGGAAATGGGCATTAAATAAAGATTCGACCCACAGATCGGGTAGTTATGTCAGATTCAAGATTCAAATTTCATGTTGCCTGTTGGAAGTCACATCTTAATTTTATCACCCGAATCCACCAAGTTTGAATAAGCCGTTCCAAACTAGAGAATTGCACAGAAATCTTCTCTTGTTTCCTCGTGGTCATCAACTTGAACCAAATTACAAAACAAAACGAACTAACCAATGTTATCAGATCAAGCAGTAGATGTTCGTGTTTTCCTAAACCAGCAGCTTTTACAAATTTACTCACCAGATGTCTGTCTCCGATACCTGGAAAATGATCTCCAGATTTGTTCTTCACATCGCGACGGTGTGGTCAGACCTGGCGGGACAGAGGGTTTATTGTATTGGAGGGTTCTGTCTTCGAGGATTCTTCTTCTTCTTTGTGTTCCCATGCTAGATTTCATGGGCAG